ATGTTCCTCAAGGTTCTACCATGCCAGACAGGTCAATTGGAGAACGATGAGACTAAAAGCAGCTACTCAAGGTCTGAGGGCGAAGTCGTACTGCTGACTGTGATGGAGGGGTGTGACATCAGTAAGGTGTTTCCCTCGGATAACCAGCATCTGCAGCGATGCTGTCACGCACCAACACTAATCTATCTTCCTTTTCAGGTCCCTCAAGAAACAACCTTCCACGGTGTGGGCAGCCGGGAAGTGATAACCGCCCTCATACCCATAACAGCACGCGAGACCAAATTGGTCAAAATCAGATGACATAGTCCTACTTGGTGAAGACGCTGACAAAATGCAGAGTCTTCTGACTACCCTAAGCAACAATGCAAGCATGTTCGGGATGCGGTTTTCCCCTCGAAATGCAAAATGTTGCTTCAAGATTGGGTTTCATCGGCACCTGAACTAGTGATAGGGAGTGAAGTGGTCGAACGTGTAGACCGCTTCACTTATCTTGGGAGTCTCATCAGTGCTGATGGCCTGGTGACTGACGAAATCTCGGCACGGATACAGAAGGCTCGATTGACTTTTGCCAACCTGCGTCACTTATGGCGTAGGCGAGATATCCGTTTGCTGACTAAATGACGAGTGTACTGTGCAGTGGTTCGCTCCATCTTACTTTATGACTGTGAAACATGGCCTATGAGAGTAGAAGGTACTCGTCGGTCACTGGTTTTCGATCATAGGTGTCTTCGAAGCATTGCTCGTATATCGTGGGACACCCGAGTGAGCAACGCTGTTATTAGGAATCGGGTGGTAGGTAAGAATGGCAGATCAATAGATGAAGTGGTGAAACTTCATCAGTTGAGGTGGTTGGGACATGTGTTGCGTATGCCTAACCACCGACTGCCTCGAAGAGCTTTGTTTTGTAGTGTAGGAGTAGGTTGAAAGAAAGCAACGGGCGGCCAAATCAAAACATGGCAGAAATCCATGAAGTCATTGACGAGTGGACTTAGCCATGTCGGTAATTGTCGGCTACCTGGTTGGGGTCCGCGAGATCATAATAACCGATGGTTAGAGACCTAGAATGACATGGCTCGAAATCGTTTGCAATGGCGCCGGTGCATTTATTCTTTGTGTTCTCTCAAATCCTAATCTTCTGGATTCTTCAACCCCTCTAGTTTTTACTTTCTAAACTTATCTCACTGAATTATACTTCTTCTAATCCTAACCTCTTCGATTACTTCTAATACCTTTACTACCTCTTCTACTATTGGATTTGAATTGACAATTACATCTGTGTGCTGATGTGGTATGGCAACATGAACTGATGTACTTACGTACGAAGTTCTACGTTGCAACTGACTGACTGACTGAATCCACTTGTCGGTGACTTCATAGATTCCTAATTCAACAAGCGATTTTGCTGGTAAAAGGTCCACCTCTGAAAAATCTGACGAGGATAATGTTAACTCTAAAAGGATGTCTACAACAGAGTTAAACAAAAATATGGAAAGTGGACATCCTTGGCAGACACCACTTGAAGTAAAGAATTCCAATGACAGTTCGCCATAAGCTCTCACTCGACCTGTAATGTTCGAGTAGAGAGCTTGTATAAGGTTAATGTACTTCTTTGGTACACCTTTCAATGACGAACACTGCCACAGAACCTCACGATCAACAGAGTCAAATGCCGCTTTTAGGTCCAGGAAGACAACTATATTCGGACGCCTAAATGTGTGTCTGTGTTCCAGAGCCTGACGTCGTGTGATTATGTGGTCTATACAACCACGTCCAGGTCTGAAACCAGCCTGGTTTCCTCTAGTCTGCTCTTCAAGGCTAACAATTTAGAAGCTATATTAGTTAGACTTATTCCCCTGTGATTGTCACAAGAAGACATTTGTCCTTTCTTATAAATTGGGACAATCAAGGATTGAGACCAGTCGGATGGGAATACGTCCAGTTCCCAGATTCTACCTAAGATCTCAGTCAATCTAGTTGTTAAAACTAAACCACGATCCTTAGAAATCTCAGGGGTCAATCTATCAGGACCCGCAGCTCTCCCTCGCTTCAGATTTCCTATCGCTTTCTCAACTTCATAAGATTCGGAGGACTTTTGTCGGTTTCTCATTCAGGATGACTGGAGATCGTGGGCAACCGAAGTGGGGTTGAAAGCCAGTCGAGCTGATCCCTAAAGTGTTCTGCCCATCGATCCAATCTCCTGGATTGAGAATAAATAATAGTCCCATCCTATTCCGAACTAGTCTCACTTACACTAGGATTCCTAATACCAGTTTCCTTGATAAGTCGGAAAAGTTGTCTCGTGTTGCCTATCGCCGCTGCCTTTTACATCACTTTTGCTTTCGCCACACACCACTGTTCACGGTTGTTGCGTAGGCTTTTTATCAGCCTGCGCTTAAGTTGACTTCGCTCTTCATCATGTTCAAATATATGTTGACGTAACAATGCACTAGAATTTAAATTCAGAAACGTATCAACTACAACAGATGTGATACAGAAGTTTGTAGAAAATAATATTAATGAAGGGGATTTTCGGAAAACGGTATTATTTCCTTAGTTGGAATCAAGAATCAGTCTAAGCTAGACCATCACTCCTCAGAAGCCAGGGGTCCTGGATGTTCACTCATCATGGGCCGTCCCATACTAGGACAAAATCATCTTCCAGTACTTCCAGATTTCTTAAATGGTGGTCTTGCTTAGATCGTTTCGTGATTTCAACTAAGATAAGTTAATATTCTATTCATCTACAATCTATTCATCAATAATTATTTGTTTAAAATCAGTCAGTCAGTCAGATGCAACGTAGAACTTCGTACGTGAGTACATCAGTTCATGTTGCCATACCACATCAGCACAGAGATATAATTGTCCATTCAAATCCAATAGTAGAAGAGGTAGTAAAGGTATTAGAAGTAATCGGAGAGGTTAGGATGAGAAGATATTATTCAAGAAGTATGATTCAATGAGATAAGTTTAGAAAGTCAAAACTAGAGGGGTTGAAGAATCCAGAAGATTAGGATCTAAGAGAACGAAAAGAATAAATGCACCGGTGCCATTGCAAACGATTTTGAGCCATGTCACTCAGTGTCTCTAACCATTGATTATTATCACCTCGCGGACCGCAAGCAGGCAGTCGACATTTACCGGCATGACGTCGCTCACTTGTCAGTGGCTTCATGGATCGCTGGCATGTTTTGGTCTGACCGCCCCTAACTTTCTTCCAACCTACTCTTACACTACAAAACAAAGCTCATCGAGGCAGTAGGTGGTTAGGCGTACAAAACACTTGTCCCATCCACCTCAACTGATGAAGTTTCAGCACTTCATCTATTGATCTGCCATTCTTACCTAGCACCCGTTTCCTAATAACAGCATTGCTCACTCGGGTGTCCCACGATATACGAGCAATGCTTCGAAGACACTTATGATAGAAAACCAATAACCTACGATTGTTTAAAATAATTATTTGTTTAAAATAAAACACTACTTCATTATTTAAATTAATTTTAAGAAATTCAAGGAAAAAATCCGATGTTACGCTTAAAATGAATTCAACATTATTACTTTTTGTGCAAAGTAACATGATTTCTCAGTGACATAGTTCATTTTAAGAACCTTCTCAGTGCATGTACATGAAAAATTTGATTATAAATCAGCATTATTCAATTTTTCAAATAATGACTTGTAATTCAGGTTTTCATAAGTTTTATGTAAGGATTTGCAAAGTAATACTAGCCTTTAACACATTTATTTATTACACATGTATTCACCGCATAAATAAGAAAAAATAATGAAGACGTGTGAGAGGAAGTAGCATTACATCTAAGTAAATAAGAATTGGGAGAAGTTTCATTCAGTTCAAGGAGCTGTTTTTTTTCACTTTTATGAAGAATCTTAAAGGAAATGATGGCGTCTATTCTAAGATATATATTAAACCTAGTGAGTTAGTTACACAATCTTACACAATCCAGGTTTCAAGAGACCAGGAATGACGTTTCGTGAACTCGCATCGTTTGCATTAGCGGTGCAGTCAGATAAGGGAATGTGAGTAGAGTTAGTTGTGGAGAGAAGAGAGGTATGTGTGGGTGTAGGAAGGATTTGATTTCGACCAATTTGGTCTCTCGTGCGCTGTTACGGGTATGAGTGCGGTTGTCACTTCCCGGCTGCCCACACCGTGGAAGGTTGTTTCTTGAGGGACCTGAAAAGGAAGATAGATTAGTGTTGGTCTTGGAGACCTGGGTGCGTGACCGCAGAGTCCAAGGGACAACTGCTTGAGGCCGGTCACGCATGGCCTTTTTATGAAAGGTATTTAGAGGATTAGCTCCGCTCTTTAAAGCCCTTAGTGGGCACCCTTACCCAAGGAGACGGAAATCCGTGAGGTTGAGTGAAGTGTGACATTTTTAAAGTCGACCTTTTCTAACTCCTTCCTTCCTTGTGAGAAGGCAGCATCGCTGCAGATGCTGGTTGTCCGAGGGAAACACCTTACTGCTGTCACACCCCTCTGCAGTCATCAGTACGACTTCGCCCTCAGACCTTGAGTAGCTGCTTTTAGTCTCATCGTTCTCCAATCGACCTGCCTGGCATGGTAGGACCTTGAGGAACATATGTTCCAGCCAGTATAGCTCGGTTGGGTCATCACGATAGGCAAGCCCGACCACCACGTCAAGGTAGCAGCCACGGTCGGGAACTACCTCTTCTACTATTGGATTTAAATTGACAATTACATCTCTGTTCTGATGTGGTATGGCGACATGAACTGATGTACTTACGTACAAAGTTCTACGTTGCATCTGACTGACTGACTAACCTAGTGTAGAGTTGTGATAGAATTAATCAATACCAGTCATCTTTCCATATCTACTCTTAGTGTAATGAACTAGAGTACACACTATGTGTATGTTACTATTTTTTTTAAAATAACCATCACAAATCATGTGAAAATATCTATATATATCAGATACATTTCTATTTGAAATTTTCAGATATTACCTATTCAAAGTAAAATGATTGATCCTACTGGTTATGGTTTACCATTTGGTGTTTTAACTACCGGTATGATTATTGTAATTTGTATGAATGCAGCTGTTGGATTTTTTGGATTTTTAAGATTTGGTGATAAATCTGAAGGTAGTATCACGTTGAATATACCACAAGTGCCTTAGTAAGTTCAAGTTGATTGATTATTTATTATATAACAGTGTTCTCTTAAACATTTCTTATTATTATCTGTATTTTAAATATGTCGATTTAAATAAAATTTGTATTAAGTAGTGTTAGTGGGACATAGATGGAATTAAAGCATGACTACGTTGCTACGCGCTGATTGGCTAATTTCCTATCCAATCAGCGCCTGATCGAATCTTGGAGAACAGGGTAGAAGATTCTCGTACTGTTAGCTGCGTGCTGATTGGTTAAATCTAATCCAGTCGATCACGTGAATTTCTATCCAAAAGCTTCTCATGTAAATGCTATAAATAGACTAACGTTGTGTCTATTTTTGCCTTCTTTGCCTACGCCATCACCTTTGTCTTCTTATTTCCATTTAACCTTTGCTATTTGGAATATAATCCAATTCCTGTTCCACCGTGTTTTTGATTCTTGGGAACTTGTCCAGTGTATTGTGGTCAGAGAATACTAAGCAATAGGATTTAGCCGGGAATTATCTAAGCAAGCGTTACAACAAGTAGTTAATGATTTAACTGAGATATTTGAAGAAATTGCTTTATTCATTGTGAGATATTAAATTACGGAATCTGTGACTTGTTTAAAACTCACAGTGATTCTTGACAAATTACTTGGACAAGTGTTGAGTACAAGGTAAATATAGCAAATTATTTGATAAAGTAATGAATTCTGATTGATTGAGTTGGTTAGAATCTGTATATATGCCATGTTTGCACCAATATTATTAGTGGTTTAGTGGGAAAGCTAAAGACAATTAAACTAATATGCTAAATTAGTTTATTTATCCATTGACTGTTCAACTGGATCAAGTTCATAAATGCAATTGCACTGCTCCATATATACCCTAACCACCGACTGCCTCGACGAGCTATGTTTTGTGGTGTAGGAGTAGATTGGAAGAAAGCTAGGGGCGCTGACAAACCAAAACATGGCAGAAATCCATGAAGTCATTGATAAGTGGATTGAGTCATGTTGGTAGATGTAGGCTACCTGCGTGGGGTCCACGAGACGAATGTCGTCAATGGTTAGAGACCTTGAATGACATGGCTCAGAATCGTTTGCAATGGCGCAAGTGCATCCATTCGTTGTGCTCTCTCAAATCCTAATCTTCTGGATTCCTTATCATCTCCATCTTTCTCCTTCTAAATTTATCTTACTGAATTATACTTTTCGAATCATATCTTCGCTCCCTAATCTTCTCCATTACTGCTAATACTTCTATTATTGCTATCACTCTTGGATTTGAACTGACAGTTGCGTCTCTGTGCTGATGTGGTATGCGCCAACCTGAACTGATGTACTTACGTACGAAGTTCTGCGTTGTATCTGTCTGCCTGTCTGCTGTATATAACCCTTGTGTATCTTATTCCTTGAGTTAATTCTTCTCGAACCCTAAAAATTATGTTATTGGATTTACGCACAGACTCAAGCTTTGCTTGTGTTTCCTCTTTCTTCATTCGCAGTGGTCATCCAGATAGATAGTCATGAAATAATCAAAACTCCTGTTAATCAGATGATTATGTTTAGAACCATAACGATTATGTAATAGTAACAGAATAAATTAGTTCGAAAACTTTAATTCCAAATTAATGGTGTACACAGGCTCCAGGATCCCACAGGAACAAATCACGTATAAACTTGTTATCGATCACGTCTTACTTGACCGAATTCACGGAGTTGCGCAACCTCATACACAGTCTTCGGTAGACACTGCCTACACCCGTGAATTTGATCAAGTTAGACATTAACACTGTTAGATACCGGCTCAGTGGTCTAACGGTTAGGGCGTTCGCGCACAATACCGAAGGTCCTGGGTTTGAATCCTGCGGGATGCAGGAGTCGTGGATGCGCACTGCTGAGGAGTCCCATACCAGGACGAAACGGCTGTCCAGTGCTTCCAGGTTTCTAATGGTGGTCTAACATTGATCATCGATTCATGGTTTCAAAATTGTGTAACTTACCAATCTTCACAACCCCTGTAATGAAAATATACTTTTGTTTCCAATATTCATTTGTTTAAATGAATCAATAAACTAAATTCGACTACAAATTGTACATTTATCATTAAGCGCTCTTTTTGTACAAATAAATAATCACCTCGGGAATCTTTGATATAAATTGTTATGTGAATTTCAATGAATTCATTCTCTAATAATAGTAGAACTGAAATGTATCATATACAATTTATAGATTATTTTTTTGTTGTTTTTACTGCATACTTTCGGAAAATTCATTTGAAGTGGTTTTTTTTAATGTGCATGCACCGTTTTAGAATGTTATTCTGTGCTTTTTTTTACCAATCATTCACAGTGTGTGTGTGTGTGTGTGTACTATACGACTCATATCGGTTGATATTCTAAAGTCTATTCACAACTGTGTGTAATCGGAAATAATATAAAGTGGATAAATTGATCATTTACTTGTAATAAAAAAAAATAAATTATTTAATCGTTATTCGTATTGAATAATTCAGTGAACTATTCAAATTATGCGTCAATCTACTCTGAACACTATTTATAGCAGTTACATCTTCAATAAGTATATTTTTTTTGAAAACACTGATGGTCATACAGTCCAGTTGAAGTTTTATGTATAACTCTAGTACCCAACTGTAGTTGTGATAACTCACTCGAGCTCTATTAATTAGATGTGATTTTTTTCCTTCATATCCTACCTACCGTGTCTAGTGATACGGTTAGGGAACAACAGTAAGACTTAAAAATTAGCAGATAAGCATTTAACGGCGAAGTCCACCACTGATTGTACTAGGGTGTAATATCAGCCAGTTGTTTTCCTTAAACAACCAGGATTGTCAGGGATGCTGACTTTGGACTATTCCTATTCTTTGATTAGATCTTATATAAGGCTCAGGACTTATCTTGATCTTGTTGAGTTTGTCAGTAATCTTTGTCTTATTTATTTTGTCTCTAATGGTTACGGTTGAGTTACTGCAGATTGTGGTGCATTTTGTTCTGTGTTACGTGGCGATTAGAAGACAATCTATAGGAAGCGGTCTCTATATTCCGCAGAATTTTTTCGCTGACTATTCTTCATCAGAAATTTTAATCTGATTGTTAGTCAGTCAGTCAGATGCAACGTAGAACTTTGTACATAAGTACATCAGTTCATGTTGCCATACCACATCAGCACAGAGAAGTAATCGTCAATTCAAATCCAATAGTAGAAGAGGTAGTAAGGGAATTAGAAATAATCGGAGAGGTTAGGATTAGAAGATACTATTCAAGAAGTATGATTCAGTGAGATAAGTTTAGAGACTCGA